CCCCCCTCCTCCCTATCTCAGATTCTATCCAGCTATATAGGGAAAAATGACTCGAATAAAAGTTTTAGGGTTCATTTAAGTTTTATTTTTTTGTGACCTCAAATTTGACCCTGACCTCGACCTTAAAGATCATTTGAAGGGTCAACTTGCGTTTTTTAAATAGGGATCTCTATTTTTCATTACATTGTTTTTTTTTCTACCAATTAATTTGAACAACTTTTGTGTAAAACATTTTTTTATTTGCCTAATATTTTTTGAGTTATTTGAGGAAAACTTCATAACTTTTTCAATATTTAACTTATTTACGATATAATAGCGCACTGACTTTTGTTAACTTACCGACTTTTGGAAAGTTTAAAATCATCAAATTAACAAAAATCAGGGCACTATTGTAACAATATATTTTTGAGATTAAATAGAGCAGAAAAGTCTAGTACCATTTTTTTTCCGACAAACAGTTAGCGAAATATCGTAAGTTAAATATTGAAAAAGTTATCAAGTTTTCCTCAAATATCTCAAAAAATATTAGGCAAATGACAAAATGTTTCAGACGAAAGTTGTTCGAATTAATTGGCAGAAAAAAAAACAGTGTAATAAAAGATAGTAGATAAAAGGGGTACCCATTTAAAAAACGCAAGTTGACCTTCAAATGACCTTCAAGGTCGAGGTCAGGGTCAAATTTGAGGTCACAAAAAACAGAACTTTATAAACCCTAAAACTTTGGTTCGGATCATTTTTCCCTATATAATGCATAGATTCTGAGATCGGGGGGCAGGGGGTCCGTTACTTTTGGAAAACTTAGTATATATATATATACACGAGTGTGTACATCATTTCCGGCACACAAGACGTGTCGCGCGCGTTAAACCCGCCGTATAATCGATACTCAGCGGCGTTAATAACAATCGTTCACGCAATCGAGCGAGCGCGCACTTCCCCCCGCGCTTAAACTTACAAACATTTGGCCGTCGCAAAGCGGACCTCCGTCAATAATCGCGCGCGCTCTCGTTGCATAATGGATTTATTTCGGTGCGTACTGTCAAAGGCGCTCTGCCGAGCAAACACCGCCGCCGCCGCCGCGGCGGCTTCTTCGCGACGAGCGACCGAACGAGCGTCAACGAACGCGTGTAAATTACACCCCCCTCCCTCTCCCCCGCGCCCGCCGCCCGCCGTCCCGAGAGATTACCTACACATGGCGATGTAAAATATGTACAATGGACGTCGGCTTGCATAATAGTCGCGCGATACATAATAAACGCGGCATGCCGACGCGGCCCGCGCGCGCTCTCGCTATTAATACAGCCGAGGAAGAAGGTTATGCGTTAATACACGCCTGTATGCGCGCGCACGCACACACGCCCGCTCGTTTAACACAGGCCGCGCCAAGTGGACGTATTGTTAATACGCGGCTGCTACTGAATTGGCGGGGGGATAACACCTGGCCCGATGCTGAAGGCGGCATTAATATGCCATGTAGAAGATAAGCGCATAGTTAACGTACCGGCGTGATAGGGTACGCGCATTTAACACCTCCGCCATGGGGGTGAACACGCGCGGTTAATACGTCATCGGACGTGGCGAACGTGGCACGACCGGTTAACGCCGAGCGCCGTTTTCTCTCTCTCTCTCTCTCTCTCTCTCTCTCTCGCGCGCGCGCGCGTTCGTTTCGGCCGTCGCGTTATTGAATCGCTATTATTGCCGCCTAACGTACGCGCACGCTCACGCGCGCGCAATTCTCTCGGGCATAATCGACGCGACAAAATGCACTTATAGCCGCGAACGCAGTTCGCCCCGCGAGGAACAAAAGAGCGAGACGCGTTTTGCTTTCGGCCGCGCGCGCTGCGGAATTAGCGCAGCGGGTAAATCCGCGGAGATGTCGAATCCCGTCGGTCCTCCGCGCTCCTCCGCGAGGCGTTTGCAAAGCGCACGTTGCCCGAATACATCAGGGAGAATCGATTTCTCTTAGATATTCTCGAGCGGTAAGAGACTGCAGGTGCGGTTTTTGTGTATTCCGACAACGTAGTCGCTCTTAAGACACTCGTTGCGGCGGCGACGGCGACGACGACGTGACTTATACGCGACGAGCGTTCCGAAAGTGCGAGAATCGCGGCGTTATCGGACGGGCCCCCCCCCTCCCCCGGCTTGTAATCGTTCGATTAGCGTGTAAGAATCTGTCGGCTCGCGCGAGACGGGCTGAATGCCTGGAATGCCATGTAAATTGGGAGCGGTCCCTTTGAGCCGACCGACATAAGCAATCTCTCGCGACGGGAGCGGCCGCATCGTATTTAGAACACGGCTTGTACTCTGGTTAATTATTATTCGACGATCTGAATGAGCTTGCTCGAATTGAAATGAGCCGCTCGAGAATACGTGCAAACCCGATTCCTATACCGGTCTCAGTCACAGTTACCGAGTCGAGTCTCATGAGTTGTTTCCGCTGCTTCTCTCTTAAGGGCTTCCACTCCCTCGCCGCGAAACTCTAGTTTGATGATGTCAGAGGCGAGGAGATCCATATTGAAAGTTTCTACGGGTTGCAGCGAAATAAAAAGATAAATCTATAAAATGATGCTTGCGATTGATAGGACACGTTTCGAAAATGCTCCGGAAATTCTCCCCTTTGCTCTAGCGACATCGATAATAACCGTCAAATTAGGATTATACATGCAGCCCTCTTCTGTTTAATCTACTTCTCCCCCACCGTGATTTCGTCAAATTGATTTCTCGTTCATTCATCTATTGTTCGAGCAGAGGGAAAGTTTCCGCGGCATTTTAGAAATGTATTCAATCGATCGCAAGTGTCATTTTACAGATGTACCTTTTTCGTATCGACGTAGGGATTTTTAGCACAGACTTCTTCGCTTCTGACGTCACCGTTCAACATGGCTGCGGCGAGGAAACAGGAGACTTAGTAAATCTACTTTTTATGAAATACGGGAACATGGTTACTCTCGCCTCCTACCCGCGAGCGGAATAACAGCGGCGGAATAGCGAAGTAAGAGACGAAGTAATTGAACAGTTTTCGGCGCGGTAAGCTCCGCCAGTTGCGCGCGCACACACACACACACACGCACGCACACACACACACCCGCGCGCCGGGTAATCCCGGATTGGCAAAATCGCAAGCGTTGCGATCCTACCTTATGTAATATAGGCCGCGTATGATGTAATCCAAGCGTACGAATCGGCATTAACACTAATCAGCGCCGCTGCGAACAGATGCAGCGGTAGATTAAGAAGGTGCGCGATAACGTCGAAGAAGCAACCGCGACGACCCACTTCGGGATTCTCGCTCGCGTCGAAGAGCAATCGGCGGGGTATCAATATTTTCAATCTATACACTCCGGCCTTTTTTCTCTCTCAGGCTCCTTCGGCTCTACGTTGATGCTGTATTATGAGCCGAGTTATGAGCAATTTCCGACGATACGTCGCTTATTGAAATTAAAAGTGGATTAAATTCAGGAGTGGAGTATTACGATAATAAGATATTAAATAATTCCGAAACCTACTTCAAGTTGAGGCAGAAGCAAAATTACAACTCGGTCAAGTTGCTCGTTAATAATTGGACATCGCGAAAACGCTATTGATATAACATCGAACGTATAATATTGTAAAATCAGACTGAATAATATTGTAAAATATTTCGTAAGAAGATAGAAGGAAGTGGATAGAAGGAGGGAGGAGCAGTAACAGCAAAAGTAACTCTACTTAATAATTGCGACTCAGGCCGACATGGTTAATCGAGCGGCTCAATTCGAGCGAGCTCATTTGGATCGCCGAATAATAATTAATCCACGATAAACGATAGGAACAGTTCCCCAAACATTTTGTCACGGAGATATCAGGGCAGAATATGAAATCGTATTCGGAGCAATCGTTATTACTCTCGTTAGATCACACTTCGTTGATCCCGCCGCCATTGCGGTAAGCGAGGCCTAAGGCACGACGCCGTTTGTATGTAGAATGTGCGGCTTCCCGTGGAGAAGTTCGAGCGCTAAACCGGAGGGATAACACCGAACTTTGCGATTTCAGGCTAAAATATACTGTTCCGTGCGGCACAATTAGCGAGTAGCGCACGGTTGTTCGTACGCGCGGAAAGTTAAAATTAATTCAAACTTATTGCCCGGCTTATAGTCGGGCAACTTTTTATCGGGGACAGGGTTAACTCCGAATCACGTGATGAATCCGTGAATTGTGTGTTACGCCGACTGTCACGCTAATTATTCTACTTAATTAATATTTCATTCATTCCTCCGCCGCAATCACCGCCTCGGCATCATTGAGATGCATCAACTGCGTATTTCTAATTGGACCGCCACACACGCATCGAAGAGTCTCATGTTTCACCGACATAAAACGACGAAATCAAAACACGCCCCTAAATATCTCACGTTCAAGAGGATGGAAATACGATATAGAAATCGAGCGCTTATACCTCATGGCGTTATTGAGACAGTTAACACGTATATACGTAATACGCGTACTTTTAAGTATACGCGCAAGTTGACGCGTTAACCCGTAACTCCGGCTGTTCTCCGGTCAATTTGACCATTGCGCTATTTGAAATTTAAATAACGCGGTTAATTTTCTAGTTGCGTATTCGTCCGTCAGTGTATTTTCTTACATTCTGAATGTCAGTCGACTGATATACGCGCAGTCGTGTGGTCGTGTTATTTGTCAAGATATTCATCAATTCCGTTTCCTGCCGGTCAATTTGACCGGTGAACAGTGTGCGCGTACTTAAAATGGCTTCACAGCAGTTACGGGTTAAGTTTCCTCCCCGTCGCGTCTCATATTGCTATTCTTCCTTCCTTCCTTCCTTTCTCCTTGCCTGTCTTCCTGTCTGGCTGCCGCTTGCCTCCCTCTTTCCACGGGTCATGGGTCATTCGCTGGCGGACATCCTCGACCTCGACGAAGCGAAGAGCGTCACGCGGAGTGTATCTCATTGCGCGCGCGAACAAACCAATCCACTAGCGAAGTAAACCGCACGTTACGACTTTCAGGTTTTTACTCCTGGCGCAATCCGGACTCGGGCTCGTGGTTCATACAGGCGCTCTGCGAGGAGCTGGATCTTCACGGGCGCAGCCGTGATCTACTCAGCCTGATGACCTTCGTGAACCGGCGCGTCGCCATCGAGTATCAATCGTACGTGCCGGAGAACATCAAGTTCCACGCGAAGAAGCAGATCCCGTCGGTCGTCTCGATGCTAACGCGTCTCGTGTACTTCCGCGACAAGCCTGCGCCATACGGCGTCGTCGCCGTCGCCGCCAGCACCGCCGCCGCCGACGACGACGACGGCAAATCGAGAAAGAAAGTCTTCGAGCTCGCGAGGGACTAGCGAGCGCGTAAGCGCGAGGAACGACGTGCTCATTCTCGAATAAGTCTACGATCATCAATTCTCCGTCGGGAGTCGTCGGGAAACGATCAACGCAACAATCGAGATGCGCTTAGCCAGTCGCGGTGAAATCTCGCTGCCGAAGGTAGCGAGTTGAAGGGAGCAGCGTGCGAAAGAGTGAAAGGTACGGAAATAGATTATTTAACCTTTTACAATTCAGGAAACAGTGGACCAGGTAGCAGTGGAGGATCTTGCGTTTCTCACCAACCTTCCCTTTGCCATGTATGAGAAAGGTTAAAAACCTCAAAGACCGTACAAGTTAACCGGCAAAAAGCAACTCGAACTTTAAGAGTTATTCAATGGGGAAATGTCCCAGACAGTCTATCCTCCTTCTGCTTCTATTTATTTATAATGAGAGATACTTTATCATGTTTTATGTATATTTAATTAGACGGCATGTAAAATATTGTTTATGAGACAACGTTTAGAATGAATTGCGAAAACTTGGACCGATTCACAAGAAACACTCCCGTAAAGAGTCTCTCCACTCTGATTTCAACGAGACATACTTGACATACTTGTATATTTTGAGTATGCCAAAATATATATATATATATATACACGTGCTTTCTTTAGCTGCTGAGACGCGAGCTTCAAAGAGCAAAACTACTCTCCAAAGTTTCATTCCTTATTTCTCATCTCGGCAACTACTCGAAATACAAAAGAACTCTTTAAACAAATATACAGGGTCTGCTAAAAGTCCCGGAATGGCTAATTATTTCAAAAAATAAAGATTGTTTAAAACAGTGCTTGAAACAAAAGTTGTAGAGCTTAAAGAAAGCTATCGGATATTGATAATTGTTTGACCTTGGAATGAACTTGAGAAACGTTATCAAGGTCGACATAAAAATCTTAAATGGAAATTCGAATTTTTTATTACACCGTCTTTTTCCACCAATTAATTTGAACAACTTTTGTCTGAAACATTTTTTTATTTGCCCAATATTTTTTGAGATATTTAAGGATAACTTGGTAACTTTTTCAATGTTTAACTTACATCTCGCTAATTGTTTGTCGGGATAAAAAATGGTACTAGACTTTTCTATTCTACTTGGTCTCAAGAATATATTGTTACAATAGTGCCCTTTTTGTTAATTTGATGATTTTGAAATTTTGAAAGATCGATAAATTAACGAAAAATAGAGCATTATTGTACTAATATATTCTTAAGATCAAATAGAATAGAAAAGTCCAGTACCATTTTTTTCATCTCAACAAACAGTTAGCGAGATATCGTTAGTTAAATATTGAAAAAGTTACCAAGTTATCCTTAAATATCTCAAAAAATATTAAGCAAATAAAAACATTTTTCACCAGACAAAAGTTGTTCGAATTGATTGGTGGAAAAGGACGGTGTAATAAAAAATTCAAGTTTCCATTTAAGATTTTTATGTCGACCTTGATAACGTTTCTCAAGTTCATTCCAAGGTCAAACAATTATCAATATTTGATAGCTTTTTTTAAGCCCTACAACTTTCGTTTCAAAGATTATTTTAAACAATTATTATTTTCTGAAATAATTAGCCGTTCTGGAACTTTTGGCAGACCCTATATATATATATATATTGTTTTATATTTAAATTATGCGGACATAAAGATATAAAAGCGAGTGCACTTTGACAGTCCTACGCTTAATAATGTGAGTGACAGTTTGACCGCTACATCGCTACGTTATGTTAGTAACATACGTTTTTTGTACATATGTTTGGTTTGACGAGTTTGACCCACATTTCTTCAATAAATAATATTATCTTAAGCATTGTGTAAGCAAAAATTTAAGATTAATACTATATAAATAGCGCGCCGACTATTTTTTATCTTCAATAATGTATAAAACATGTTGTACGTGTATGATCAACTGTTTACATGATAAAATACGTGATAAAGAACGTACGTGATGAAAAAGTACGTGACGAAAATTATAATTAGCTTTATAATTATTATGTTCGACATATTTATGATCTATCACAGCTTATTAATCCGATAATATCATTAGATTATATTGTACATGCATCTCATTTTACAGTACTTATACATTTTATGTTATTTTTTTACATTGCATTTCTTCCATATGTTACTTTTTCATATTATGATAGCCCAGTTGTTTCCTCACATGATGTCAACAGTAAGATAATGTTATCGTAAGATAATTTTTATCACGTAATTGATTAGTCATGTGTACGTATATACATACACAATTGAAATTCTGCTAATACTTAGGATTTATCAGCTTTGTTCATTTGATAGCATTATCTTATCGTTAATATTATGTTATGACAAGAGAAATTTATACAATCATAACATAAATACGTCATCACTAATAAATACCATAAGATACAATATTATTCGGTTGAAAATAAACAAAAATGCAGTATTCGCGGTGATATTGTTATAGTAAAATGTGCTTGGTGTAAAAAATATTTAAACATTCTTTTGACAAAGATCACTGGTGTCGAAACTATAGAGAATAGATGCAACATGAATGTTTTTCTTCGCGGATAATATTAATGCTTTCTTTAACTTTTCAATTTTCATATTTGTTTCGTATGTGTATCATCTAAATATATATAATATGCGTATATATTATATATAAATATATATATATATATGTACAGCATATATCTTACAAATAAAAAATGATCCACAGAATTTATATTGATAATCTTAAATTAATTTTGTCTACGGTGCTTAATAAAGTATGAATTATTAAAATGATATGAATTATATTCGTAGCAATATATAGCGATTAATCACGCTACATCAAGCTCTATCTAAGATTTCCAAAGGCATGTGCACTTGTATATCTTTGTGTCCGTATAATTTAAATATAAAACAATATTTATAGATAGATTCAGAATAAAAAATACTTATTTTTTATCTTTATAACAATTTTAGCAAATTAAAAATTAAAACTATTGTAATCCATTTCATTGATTGTTTAAAACATTATATTATTTATATGTAGGCTATTGTACTTTACATAAAACCCATGTCACATTTGTCTAAAGAGTTTTTTTGTATCTCGAATAATCACCGAGATAGCGCATAAAGGATGAAACTTTGGTGGTAGTTTCACGTCTTAAACTTGCGCGTCTGAGGAGCTAAAAAAGAAGTACGTGTCTATTATTTTTGGCTATCCTACAAATATGCCAAGCCTCATAGAAATTAGGAGAGGAGAGGAGAGACACTCTGTAAGTATCTCTTGTAAGATAATATTTGCATCTATGTGTATGAGTGTGTGTGTATATATGTATAGTATGCCGTATGATAAGAAAACTCTACCGCGAACCGCGAGATTCAATTGTGTTTGATATAATCGTATCTAAATGGGAAATATAACCTGCGTACTGGAAATTGTTTAGTTTGTCACAGTTGATAAAATTAATTAAGCCATAACACATGATGCAAACCTAATCGGTGCATTGCACGTTCTAATAGATTGCAGAATTATGTAATACCTGAATTACGCTTACGCACCCTTGCCCATTCATCGTGTACAAATGAATTTTTAAATAAATTACAAAATTCAGTCTGCGCTTGATAATGCTCCGCAAAGTAAAATAAATGCGCCAGTGCGCATTCAGCGGAGCGCATACTATGAATTATTATATTATAATTGCATTCAGTATATTATTCTTAATTAGCATACTAATTATATGCGGATCTTCATAGCGCGCTATAAAGACTGTTAACGTAATAGTCAAGAATAATAATGATCGAATAATGTTGCTCGCAGTTCCATTATTTAAGACCCGGCCCCGATGTGAATTAACGACACGCGACGCGAGGCGAAACAATGCGAGAAAAATTCCGCTCGACCGATCGCTCGTGCGTGTTGCTTTCTTCCCCTGCAGGAACGTAACTGATCCCACTTGGTCTCCGCGCAGCCGGCAGTGATGAATCGAGCATTACGAATCGCTCGAAAAGACTCGTCTGCGAGTGCGCGCGCACACGCGCACACACACACACACACATACACATATGCGTGTAAGATTGAAGCTCAGTAGAAGACATGGTGAATATAACGCGACGAAGAGTGTTGCCGCGAAGCATTGTCACCGCGTGTTAACGCGACGGCACGTCGCGCAGAAATCCCGCGCGCTTATTCGCGAGAAATCGCCGGGAATCGATCTCGTCTCTAAATACCGTTGGTGAGCCGACACGGAAGATCCTGGGCTCCATTAACCGCGATGCGTGCGATTGCGCTGACGTATTCAATGCCAGATTAGATACCTGCGGTCAAAGGAGCTAGACGCAGATGCTATTAACCTTTGTCTTGGAAGACGCCAAGTGGAACCCAGAATTATGCCGTTAACTAGATGCTATCGCGAATTGCGATCTCCTTCGTGCCGGCTCGGATCGATCCGCAGCGACGATACGGACAGCCGGCGCTCGCAAGCCGGAGAGATCTCCCGGCGTCGCCCTTAATCGCATTGTTAAACGTATTACGTGGCACGTAGCGTGCACTCGCGGGCCGACAGTGGCGCTAAGCAGCCGAGCGTGCATGTGAAAAATAAATAGGAATTGGAAAAATGATAAGGACCGAATGACGAAATCATGTCGATTGCATAGCGTGCGTGCGTGCGTGCGTGCGTGCGTGTGTAACGGGACGTGTTTATTTACGCGAGCGCGGAGATATTTACAATTTTCCACATTCCATTGCTGGTCAAATGCCTACGCGATTTATCGAGTCATTTGTATCGAATGCGTGGGCGGGGCGGGGGGGGGTGAGGGAGGAGAGAGAATGGTTTCGAAAAATATCACTCAAATTGACGTGGCGCTGTGCGCGCGAGACTCGATGTTTATTATTATTCATCCGCCTCGGCGAAATTCATGACGTTTCAATACGTCGACTATAAATAATGCGAGAAGTCATTAAAAGTGTCCGATTTAATTTTTAATTTCTCCCCTCGTTTCTCTCCCTCTCTCTCTCTCTCTCTCTCTCTCTCTCTCCCTTCTCTCTATCTTTTTCCTCTTCTTTCCTGCGCTTCGACGCGACGCGTGCGGGTTGACACCGCGTTATGGATGAACGTTACGCGACAGCGGAGCGTAGAGATTAACGCAAAAGGAGAGAAGAAAATTATGTTCGTCGACGCGACAGAAATAACGTTTCCGTTGGCGGGCAAAAGTCAGGAAATAACCGCGCGCGCGCGCGGGCTTGACGATGTAAAAGATCGCGCAGCGGTATGAAATAAATGAATAATGACAACTCGCGCCGGACAGTCAGCGACGTTTCCAACAAAGGGCCACAATGCACGATCTAGTCCGCCGCCGCCTCTTCCCCGCGCGTCATTTTCCCGCAGCGCATATTTCCAATGGTCTATTGTGCGCTTGGCGCGTTGCCGCCAAGCGCAAAAGTATTTTACATACTTTTAATGACCGCGTTGCGAGCACCGGTGCAAGCGCGATATATTTAAGAACAAGAGCATTATGCGATAAATCTAACCAACTATACGACTATATGAGAACAAAGCGATTCGAGAGACTGAAACTCTCATAGCCTTGCGCGATTCGTTTCTGCGTTCACGTGACTCAAGTACTTTTCACAGCCGTTAAAGAGCATCGGATTACGCACGATTTCGAATACAATTCGACACAGAATCATCTCCTACGAGCGACATGGAAAACGCGCTGTATGTCTGTAATGTGTGTGTGTGTGTGTGTAACGAGTATCGTTACGGACGCGTTCGCCGTCACAAGGGGGCTCTTGTATTCAATAAATGCAGAAAATATT